AAAAAAAAAAAAAAAAAACAGAGCTTCCCCTGTTTTTCTTCAACCATTTTCCAGTTGAAGATTTTGAGGTGGTTTGTTGGGTTGTATGTGTAATAATGGGCTTGTAAATGTGTATATACTTTGTTATTATAGAAAAGTGAGATATGCTCATATACATGTTGTTGTTTTGTTGGATGCATGAGATTTAGTGTATTTTAATTGCTGGTTTTTCTTCAACCAATTGCTGGTTTTGTGCTCTGTATATACTTTCTTGTTGCCGACATTGGAATATGAACCATTGGACCAATACATGCCCGCACCGGTGTGTACATGTGTGCTCTGAAGGTTTGTAGGTTCATACTCTCCCTAAACTGTTAAACGAAACGAGCTGTCATGAGCTGAGCTCAGCTCCGCTTGTTAGACTCGAGTTATGCTCAGCTCGTTTGATGAATGGGTTGAGCTCGAGCTCGCTTAAACCTAGTTTAGTTAACGAGTCGAGCTCGACTCAGCTCGAAAAGGCTCGTTAAGTCTCAAAAAGATATTATATATATATATTTTTTTATAGTTCGACTAACTCGTTAAAGTTTGAGATGAACATATTAAGGCTCGAACTCGGCTTGTTAATAGTGATAAACGAGCTGAACTCGATCTCGACCTTTGGCTCGTTAACTTAATGAGCCGGGCAAGATTAATTCGACTCGCTAAGGACTCGAACACCTTGAACTCGAGCTCCGCTTGCCTGGCTTATAACACTATCCCTCCACACCGTGTAAGAGCTGTTAGATCAATACACTTGTGCGTGTGTGGTTTAACCGTTCATACTCGTTTTCGTTAAAATTCATAATAAGTGCCCATACTGAGATTTGAACCGTTATATCCATACGTATTCGTGTGTATGTGGTCTTAACTAGTTCAGACCCAATGTAGACGGTGTGATCTGACGGTTCAGACGCTATGTTGGCGGTTCGGATAGGGTTGAATTCTAACTCACATGCATGTACTTGTTTATTGGAATGCATGAGATTTAGTGTAGTATAATCGTAGGTGGCTCATATTTTGCGGGTTCTAGTTTGATGCTTGTCTGACTAAGACAGCATATGAAAGAATTTTGGTGGGCTTGTAAGCAAGCATGGTTGGAAATTTTCATTTAGAAATGGCTTTATGAAGATGTGATTATTTTTGCGATAAGCACATAATAGATGCCTATTGTGACGTTTGGCTAAAAACAATCACATATTTTTTTAGACTCTGCAGATTTAAGCGCTTGAATGAGATGGCTTGGGTCTCTTCCAGCTTAACCAGTGGTTTTGTATTCGAGCCCTGTGAATGCAGCAGTGTTAAAACTTTTGAGGGAGAGTTTTGCCGCCCTTGTGGTCCTACCCGGCTCGATTCCGGATTAGTCGGTTTCCCTGTGAATCTGGAAACCGGAAGGTCCCTGTACC